GTCCGTAAGTTCCGTGCAGTCCTTAAGTTCCGCACAGTCCGTAAGTTCCGTACAGTCCGTAAGTTAATACAGAAATCGAAAGAAATTCCCATTTGCACGCGTGTTATTTATATCATTTGTTTAAGATCAGTAGTTATTAACGCAAATATAGAAAGGAAATCGCATCTATGTGTGTGTGTGTGTTATCAATAGCAAGTTATTACAGAGTAGTAACTCTTGTTAGGTTACATTATTGTATCTAATATACGGCTAATTAAAGGATTTGCGAACGTTTTCGGGTTATCAAAAAGGTCTGACTTGCACTGCAATTGAGACGGCTGCGCTGTAGTTATGACAACGGCGGATGTTCACTGATACTTTAACTTGTTATCTTGTTTTCAGTACTACGAGTCTCCTTCAAGAATGCTTAGCAGCATGGACATAATACCCGATGCGATCGTAGCGCCACCGTTCAACTCGCACACGCAAGTCTAATGCGGGCCCATGACTACGCGCTTCCGCTCAATATGCGAATCTATTTTACTCAACCTACTATTTATTAAGTATCACCCATTGCAAGAGAAATGCGCGTTGTATAGGCCAAGTATACACGCGGCAACTTTAATGAGTTTTTTCTGTAAAAACACTATATCGCGTAGTAGGTATATAGATACTTCGAGATGTATAAGACGAAGTTAAAAATACCGATTACTCAAGGGAATTTTTTAATGATAAAACTGGTTAATCTTACAAGTATAGTAATCTTGTCGATTGAGGGTGAGTAGAACCAAAGGTTAGGTTATACAGTTGTTAACACCCGATGGTTATCCAAATTCTAGTTTAGATATTATATATATATCCAATTATCTTCCTCTTTTTTACGTCTGGACAGTACGGTCCCACATTGCTATTTATTCTATAACTCTATAAAATACATTAAAAATCTTAATAAATAATTTAAATTATTCAGTATTGTTAATTTAATGGAAATGCGAGAAGACGCGAGTGGTCTATTATGCTATAAAATATTGTCGTTAGCGACAAAATGTTGCAACTTATGACATGATCACAGTGTCTGTCAGCCGACAAGTTGTTTATGAATAATTTCCAGAATTATTTAAAACGTCGGGAAACGGCAGGTAAGTGTGTAAATGTAACCCATGTTACGTTTAGAAAATATAAAAGGTTTTTCACTATTACCTGTAGTAACGCCGCCTGCTTCACTGAATCACCATCTCCACTCTCCGGCCACATTACCATACAGCTCGCCGTTCGCCTGACACAGTTGTGAGAGACATCTAAACAGCTAAACACACAATCGCATCGCGTCGTCAACGTCGTGCAGCCCGTGCTCGTTCTCAAGAGCGACGTATTCCACTTATACATGCACACATTCGCGCGCTCACGCACGCACACACGCACGCACGCACGCACGAACGCACGTACGCACGCACGCACGAACGCCCGCATGGGCCGACGCACGCACGCACGAACTCACGCACGCACGCACGCACGCACAGACGCATGGGCCGACGCACGCACGCACTTACACGCGCACTTACACTCAGAAATGCACCGGCTTAGGGAAGGGATGCGTCTTTGAAACGGTTAACGTAACGCAATTATTCCGTAACGTGAACTAATTCTTTCCCATATACTTCGTTTATACGCTAAGCAATTCCGGCTCAAAGATTAAAATGCTTGTCTATTAATAAAAATATGCCGTCATAGAAAACCACGTCGATTATTTCGGAATATACTATAATAATAATATTATTAAGATTAATAATAATAATAAATACACAAGAACGTCACTAGAAACTATGTAGTCTTGCGTAGAGAACGTCGCGTCACCGACGCTTGATGGTAAAACGCTCACAGTATAACTCACACTCACACTCACAGCTAGTATAATATTAATCCACAATTTATATTAATTTATAATATAATCAAATAAATAATTATTTCCGCGCTTTCCTAATTCCTCATCTTGGTCTAGGTCGAGGGATTTCGCGTTAAAATGTGGAGACACTTACGGCGCGGTCGAATTAAGGGGGTGCTAATGTATCCCGAATTCAAATTCCTATCCGAAATTTAGCAAATTCTTAGAGGGGGGGGCAAAATTTCACGACTCAACTGTGTAATGATGAGCGACGGGCGCAGCTCTTGATCGGCGTCCATAGTATGGTAGTATGGTATAGTATGGTAGTATGGTATAGTATGGTAGGGGTGGGTCTGAGACAAGGCTTTCACGGATAAAATCACGTTAGGAATATTTAGGATTATTTACTGAGCTTATCTTTAACTTTTGCCCCGAAATCTAGGGTGGGGGCAGCTGCCCCCTTGCCCCCAGAGGCTATACGGCCCTGAATTCCAAATAAAAGTTACCGCCGGTAACTACTCGAATGTTGCATCTTAACGATTGCCATTTAAAGATGGTAATACTTCCCTCCCGCAGGAATCGTGTAATTCGCTGGAGAACCGGTAGCGGAAATGAGTTCGCAGTTTTCCACGTTGCCTTCGATCCAAACGAACCCCCAGCAAGGTGCTGACGTCAGACATCTTGCCGCACACATCGCGTGTGATCGGACAGCCATCCGAGTTGCTGTGGCAACGCGTCCTAGCTGCTGGCCTTCCGACATAAACACGTTGGAGAACGGGGCATTTCTGGAGGGTCCATCTGTTAACATTAACCACGCACGAAAGCTGCTCTAGTTGATATTTCGATACGACGTACTGTGTTTTTAAGTGAATGGGTCATATGAACGATTTAACGTATTCGCAATGCGAGACTCACGCTCGTGTGAATGAGTTTACTGCACCGCGTATACACATGCGATTTTACAACGTTGAAAATACCATATGCATTCAACATGACATCAATGGAAACTCCCCTTGAACGAGCTAACCATGTCACTCACATTTCACAATGCGCAAGTAATTTGCTTACGATGCTACGAGGAGTAAACGTTAATAATTTCTGACTGTAAGAAGAAGATTCAACATAGAAGAATAAAGAGAAAATAGAAGAAAATATAAATTATCACAATACATATATAAATAAATAACGACAATTAATTATATAAGAGTTATTATTTATCATTAACATTAATTTATAGAATTGTTAAAAATAATTAAATGCAATTGATTGCCGATTTCACGCCAAAAACTAGACAGTCATAACGTTTCTTAATCGAACGCGAGTGAGAAGGTGTACACACTTGAGTTTACCTGGATAGATCTTGTAGGCGGCAACTTTGAAGTATCCTCCACACGTGGGGCTGCCATCTCCCTCGCACACCTTGCCGCAGTCGGCGGCCGGTGCGAGGCCGTACATGCCGTACTCCGGGCCGCATTTACAATACTTTCCGAAGTCTAAGCCCATGAACACGTAGCCGAGATGCGTGCAGCGTGTCGCACATTTGTTCGGCGTCAAGTCACGGATTATTGTCTCACTCGTGAAAGCGCCGGTGACTGCGAAGCGTGCGATGAGGCAGTCGATGTATACCAGTACGAAAGCGCCGCCTGTGCAATACATATACATAATATATTGTACAACGCTGAGGTCAGTAACCACAGTTGCATCAGTCACACACAAGCTAATTTTACACCATACCGACGGGCTAGAAACACCAATCTATCTTGGACCACTGGACACATACACTGCTACAATAGGCCACCCGGTGTGCGGCTTAGTTACGATGCATGTTTAGTTACGGAGCGATCCACCCCACATCTTACCCGCTAAGGCTATCGATATCACCTCTAATCTTAACTTCCGAAGAGCGCAACACATCTCCAACCCTGACTCGCCAGTGTCAATTCATACCGGTATCCTATTTCAACCGTCGCGTAGGCCCTAATAAGTGGACGCATATGCCTTCCTTGTAGCCGGCAGTGATTGCTAGGAGGCATATTTGTAAGGAATTCGCTGACTCATCATCTTGCAAGATCGGGGTATAAAAAGCCGCAGCGAGAGACACGGGGTTCTTAGGTTCTTATGTTACAGTCCTCGGTTGCTAGATTCTATGTGTAGTGTAGTAGTGTGTGTTTTGTGAGTATGAAATACAGTGAAAACGGCAGTTATACACGATTACCAAGTCTACCTTCTACCTATTTTGTTTCTAAGTTAGTCACCCATTTCACGGCGCATGTAGCAGTCACCTATAAGCGCACAGTTGTCTGGCAGCAGAATTACCCGCAGACTACAATATATATATATACGAAGACACGGGGGAAATAAATGATACAACCTAAAAGCGGACGTTCAGGCAAACTAACGTGCAGAAACCTGTAATATATATATATATAATTCGTACACGTACCTGTGCGCATATTCCAGACAATTACTGCTAACGCAACCGCTAGACATAATAAGCACCGCATGTCGACGGAGCGCCTGTGAAGATCCTTCGTCCGTGCCTAGGAGGTCCGTGAGGCGGAGGGGCGGAGGCGCGGAGGTCTATGATGCAGACGATGTTGTCAGACGACAATGTCGGGAGTGGATTCGATCCCCCTCGCTCATTAGTTTCACGTGTTAGTCAGTCGTTGATCGTCGATTTTTGATGACGCGACAGCGCATGCGCACAGCGACAGGGGCATGGTGACGGGTTAAAACGGGCGTAACACTACCAGTAGCTGCTGTTATTGGTTTTAAAATAGGGAAGTAGTATCTGATCGTACTATTAACACTAGGGATTGAGCGTGCTTTAATTTACACAGAGAAGGGATTAAGGGAAAGTCTTAAACAGAAAGAACAGATCAGCACAGAGTTACTATGGTACGAGTAATAAACAACTAAACTATATCAAGAGTAGATAATAAACATTTTTATTATCTACTCTTGACTATATGCATATATATATATTATGGTATACTATCGATATACATATATATATATACTATATATATATATATATATATATATATATATATATATATATATATATATATATACCTAATCGTTGATTTACTCACTCTATCTGGCTAATAGGAAATTTAAACTTTTAATTACCCTGCTAAAACACGACCCCCCGAATTTTACGTAATCGGATCCTTTGAATTGCAATTATCTCATCATAACGGGATTCTATCACGTACCGTATAGTGTGTGGTGTGTGGATGCACGCTCATTTAACTAGTCTACGTATAATGTCTTCCTCCACGTAACTATTTCACGTCTCATGATTACTAACGAATATCATTATCGTGATGGATTCGCTGTAATGACGCTCGAATCTAACACCAGAGGGCCGTACGAATATGAGAAATACGTCATATCAAGAGCGTATTAAGTATTAAGTATACTTAATACGCTCTTGGTCATATATTATGTACAGGGGCGTAGATAGCGGGGGGATGGGGGGGATGCATCCCCCCCACTTATTGACGTTGGGGGATGGCGTGTACAATCACCCCCCCCTACTTTCAGGAAGAAAATGGGGGATTCAAAATTTTCTGGGGGAGGACCCGCATACCCCCGCCTGTTTCTTACCACCCTCCTCGAAAACCTGCATTGGTCACTGTCGAACGTAACAAATTGAGCTTCAACACTTCAACACTTCAAAAATCGTTCCGCGGCGCCTGTAGAGTACTGCTAACAAATATTATGATAATGAATATTTGTATGCATATCAAAAGTCAAATTTCAGTTCATCTGACAGGGGCGTAAATAGCGGGGGGGATGGGGGTGGCTTTCATTCCCTCTACTTTCAGGAAGAAAATGGGGAAGAATTTAATATTTTACAGACAATAAATACTGGTTATTTATCTACAAATCCGTCATCGCTATTCATACTCTCCTAATGTATTATTACAAAAATGGAACGTGACATACATCTACTGTAAAATGGCTGTAACTCGTTCCAAGAATGACATTATTTTACTGAAACTCAGACGGTAAATTTTGGACGCATTCCCCATATACGATTTTTTTTTCAAAATCACCAAAGTCTAATCCTTTGTGGCGAAGTCGATCCTGTCCGTGTGTTGCCCGTCATCTCCTTGTAGTATCGTCAACGTTATAGTTACACGTTCATTGTGGTCATGCGGGAATTGATGTTATAGAGGGCGCGAGCAAGCGAACGTGTGCGCGCATGATTGTGATGTGAGGCGAGCGTGCTCGCTCTCTTGACGGCCAACAGTGGAAGAGGCCGGACGTGTTATCCGCCCGGTCTCTCTTGACGGCCAACAGTGGAAGAGGCCGGACGTGTTATCCGCCCGGTCTCTCTTGACGGCCAACAGTGGAAGNTTTTATGTCACGCACATCACATGACAAGCCACACATCACCCCACAGGTTTCCTTCATACAACCGGTGGGAATCACGTGATCGCTGTCATAGCCACCAAGGATGCTGTACATCGACCTGGAATGCTGAGACACGCGACAGGACGATAGGATGCGGGGATATGAGGCTATGGCAGCCGAAGTTTGTTACATATATATATATACCAAGAGTAGATAATAACACTGTGTTATTATTTACTCTTGATATATACATAATCGTTGATTTACTTACTCTATCTGGCTATTAGAAAATTTAAACTTTTAATTACCCTGCTAAAACACGACCCCCCAAAATTTACGTAATCGGATCCTTTGAACAGCAGTTATCTCATCATAACGGGATTCTATTACGTACCGTATAGTGTGTCGTGTGTGGATGCACGCTCATTTAACTAGTCTACGTATAATGGCTTCCTTCACGTAACAATTTTACGTATCATGATTACAAACGAATGTTATTATCATGGTGGATTCGCTGTAATGACGCTCGAATCTAACACCAGAGGGCCGTACGGATATGAGAAATACGTCATATCAAGAGCGTATTAAGTATTAAGTATACTTATTACGCTCTTGGTCGTATATTATGTGAATCTTCATCGTTGCTGTTTTAGAATAATATATTAGTGATCATCGCAGAGCTCCGATCTAGTAACATCTTCTATATCTTCGTAAAGAATACATTAGTATAGGAGCTGCATTGGCCGTGTGTGTGGGCGCGAAAGAAACAAATCGCTGGGTGAGACCGCACCAACCTGTCGATAGGTGCGCCATACCTGGCGTCATCTCGTTCACATTACGTATGCGACGCGACTCACTCATCTGTTCTCTCACTCACTCGCTCGCTCTAGACTATCGCACACTCACGCACGCACGCATGCATACATGCTTACGTACCCGTATCCGATCTCTTGCGTGTGCGTGCGTGCGTGCGCGTGCCGTACCTCGTCCGTATTAAGTATGCGACGCATATGCATTCGCAGCAACGTGAATTATTAAACAACACGTCGTTGAAAATCTACGCCGCGTTTTGTAAGAGGACACGCGCCGATTCAGCGAACGCGTCCGGTAGCGACGATGGGGGGGGGGACGTGCGGGGAGGTAGAACGCACGCACGTTTTGAATAGGGTAGTATTACGGACGCGAGGCAACGCGCAAAATGTGTACGCCGTAGTCCTGACGCCGGTCACGGGATATCGAACCGGGTTAGTTGAGATACGAACATTACCAGAAATCAAATCACGAATTTAATTTTTATTAAAATATTAACGTACTTGTTTTGTTATGGAGAATTCAAAGAGCATATATGCTGCACAACTGGCTAAGCAAGCCCGTGCTTGCTGATGCATTAATCGCTATTTCGTGGTGTTAAAGGGCCGGACACACTAGGCGATTAAATCGGGCGACAAAATCGCCCGATAAATTAAGCACCTTTTGTGACTTGTAATAAATGCACGAGTCTATTTTTAGTGCTATTTTTACACCGACAGTTTATACAGATATACTAATTTCATCTGCTACTTGAATCTGTGTTTCAGGATGACTGGTTCGTAATGTTTCCTGCAGAGGGCGTCTGCGATGTCGCTCATCTCATCGTCAAAGAAATTCTTCCAGTCGCCAACTTTTCCTGTCGAAAGAATTTGTGAAAAAAACACACGCACACACGCACGCACGCACTGCGTGCCAATGTTCGGCAATGTGCGCCAGGCTTTTTAAAGCGGAGAGTGACGGTGAGGGTCAGGATCAGGGTTAGGGTTAGGGTTAGAATTAGGGTTAGGATTACGGCCCTATACCTTTGCGCATGATGGGTGCAGTGTTAGGGTCGCGCAGTCCATTCTTCGTGAGGAAATTCCAGTTGGTGAGCGGGTTCGTGCGCATGCGCTCGAAGTTCGTCTCAGCGACAATGGCCGACACTTGATCGTCACTCAACTGTTTACCTAGAAACTCAGCGATGCGACGGACGCCCCCTAACAGGTCATGCACAAAAAGAAATTACCGATTGGGGCATATGCAGTACGGGAAGAGAAGAGCGAAAGAGAAGAAAAGAAAAGAGAGAAAAGAAGAGAAGAGAGAAGAGAGAAGAGAAGAGAGAAGTACGAGGAGAAAAGGGAAGAGAAGAGAAGATGGGGAGGATGAAGAGGAGGAAGAGGAGGAAGAGGAGGAAGAAGAAGAGGAGGAGGAGAAGGAGGAGAAGGAGAAGGAGGCAGATGGAGAGGTAGAAGAAAGGAAGAAGAGGAGGAAGAGACGGCCGTGGTGGAGGAGGAGGAAGAAGAGACAGACAGATACACAGACAGACAGAGTGGCAGACAGAGAGATAGACAGCTAGATCGATATCAGGTGCTAAAGTATAATAATTCTGTAAAACTAAACCGGATCGATTATCGGATCGGATCAATTATCGGATCGGAATATCGGATCGGGGGGGGGGGGTCGTGGTTCCCGATTATGATTTCACTGAATGCTAACGATGAATTAAATGAGAGTTGCGGAAGCGATGAATGAATGCGTTTGGTAGCAACAAGGCAGTCGACAGTAGTAACGAAACATGCAAATGACGCTCGCGTTCGATCGGCCCCTGCCTGAATTTATTGATTTCAACGACAAGCATCGCAACGACAAACACATGCATCGCCGACAAGTATGGTAGTATGGTATAGTATGGTAGGGGTGGGTCTGAGACAAGGCATTCACGGATAAGTGACCAAAAAATCACGTTAGGGATATTTACGATTATTAGCTGAGCTTATCTTTGAATTTTGCCACGAAATCTAGGGTGGGGGCAGCTGCCCCCTTGCCCCCAGAGGCTACGGCCCTAAATTCCAATTATAAGTTACCGCCGGTAATTACTCGAATGTTGCATCTTAACGATTGCCATTTAAAGATGGTAATACTTCCCTCCCGCAGGAATCGTGTAATCCGCTGGAGAACCGGTAGCGGAAATGATTTCGCAGTTTTCCACGTTGCCTTCGATCCAAACGAACCCCCAGCAAGGTGCTGACGTCAGACATCTTGCCGCACACATCGCGGGAGATCGGGCAGCCATTCGGGTTGCCGTGGCAACGCGTCCTAGCTGCTGGCCTTCCGATATAGACACGTTGTTGTAGAACAGAGCATTTCTGGAGGGTCCATCTGTTAAATTAACCACGCACGAAAGCTGCTCTAGTTGATATTTCGATACGACGTACTGTGTTTTTAAGTGAATGGATCATATGAACGATTTAACGTATTCGCAATGCAAGACTCACGCTCGTGTGAATGAGTTTACTGCACCGCGTATACACATACGATTTTACAACGTTGAAAATACCATAATTATGCACTCAACAGGACATCAATGGAAACTCCTTTTGAACGAGCTAACCATGTCACTCACATTTCACAATGCGCAAGTGATTCGCTTACGATGCTACGAGGAGTAAACGTTAATAATTTCTGACTGTAAGAAGAAAATTCAACATAGAAGAATAACGAGAAAATAGAAGAAAATAAAATTATTACAATACATTAATAAATAAATAACGACAATTAATTATATAAGAGTTATTATTTATCATTAACATTAATTTATAGAATTGTTAAAAATAATTAAATGCAATTGATCTAGACTAGACAGTCATGACGTTGTCAAAAACTAGACAGTCATAACGTTTCTTAATCGTACGCGAGTGAGAAGGTGTACACACTTGAGTTTACCTGGATAGATCCTGTAGGCGGCAATTCTGAGGTATCCTCCACACATGGGGCTGTCATCTCCCTCGCACACCATGCCGCAGTCGGCAGCCGGTGCGAGGCCGTACATGCCGTACTCCTGGCCGCATTTACAATACGTTCCGTAGTCTAAGCCCATGAACACGTAGCCGAGAAGCGTGCAGTGTGTCGCACATTTGGTCGGCGTCATGTTCAGGATGTGTGTATCACTCGTGAAAGCGCCGGTGACCCTGAAGTCGTCGTGTCTGATGAGGCAGTCGATGTATACCAGTACGAAAGCGCCGCCTGTGCAATACATATACATAATCAGGAGCGTATAATGACAAATTATAATGACAAACAGGAGCGTATAATGAGCGTATTTGTCATTATACGCTCCTGATTATGTATATGTATTGCACAGGCGGCGCTTTCGTACTGGTATACATCGACTGCCTCATCGGACACGACGACCCCGAAGTCACCGGCGCTTTCACGAGTGAGACATACATCCTTGACATGACGCCGACCAAATGTGCGACACACTGCACGGATCTCGGCTACGTGTTCATGGGCTTAGACTACGGAACGTATTGTAAATGCGGCCCGGAGTACGGTATGCTACGGCCTCGCACCGGCCGCCGACTGCGGCATGGTGTGCGAGGGAGATGACAGCCCCATGTGTGGAGGATACCTCAGAGTTGCCGCCTA